AGTCACTTTTTTATCATCCCCCCCCCCGCCATACGGTTTCTATTTTTCTCTCAAACCGCACCGACTCGCACCGTGCACACCCCTACTCATGGGTCAAAATATGTTACATAAGTGAAGTCGTAAATATTTTAAATAAATGGGGGTAGTTTGGTCATTTTATTATGATTTGACATCATAAACAAGCATTAATCAAAAAAGTCAAAAGTCACTTTTCACCAACTTTCCAAATCATTTGTCTAAAAAAGCCAAAAACTTAGTTAAAAGTCAAAAAGTCACTTTTTACCATCTTCCCAAAATAAGCCAATGTCCACTGAGTGGTAGAAAGATAAAAGAATTAGGGAAGGAAATGAGAGTAACAATTATATATATATATATATATATTGGTTAAGAGTGTATTGAGGGTTAAATACGAACTTTCATAAATAAATGGATAAATTACAAATATATCTCCTAAGGTTTGCTTAAAATATATTGTCCCTTATGGTTTAAAAAATTATAAATACCCCCTTATTAGAATGTTTTATTTAACAGAATTAACTAAAAAAAATGAAATTCATAATTACTCTCTTATACAATAATAAAACTACTTAAATTATTAATTGAAACATATTTTTAACATTATTAAAAACTATTAATTGACTTGATGATTTATTAATAAAATGGGCGATTTGTTATGAAATTAGAAATCTCAGGGGTGGAAGGTAATTTTCAAAACCACAAGAGGTAATTTGTATTTTAATCAAACCTCATGGGGTGTATTTGTAATTTACCCTAAATAAAATTACGGACATTAGCAAAATTAGTTAGTTGACCTAATTGTTGACTAACAAAAGAGATATTTGTCATACAATTTGAAATTTCAAGGGCGAAATGCATATTTTAAAAGCTAAGAGGGAAATTCATATTTTAGACAAATCTGAAGGAGTGTATTTGTAATTTTTTTTCACAATTATAGAAGATAAAATATAAATATTTTAAAAATTACATCAAAGCGGATATTCAACTACGAGAGACAGTCTAATACACAACTATAAATATACAACAAACAAGAGATACACTACATCTATTTAAAATTTTAATATCCAAATTATGAAGGGGAAAAAAATGCACAAGGTATACCCGAGGAGAGGATTAGAACCTTTCAATCTAGTTAATTATAGGATTTAGAATAACACTAAATGAAACTGGTTCCCCTAATTGTATTGCCCTAAATTGAGGGGAGTAGATTAGTAGAGGAAGCCTTTTAGGAAGAATTAAGATCCTCTTCTCCCTTTCTCTCCTTAACTCTTTTCTTGTTAGGTCATTGGGTCCACTTTTGGATCCAATTTCGATGATCTGAACCATTCATATTTTAAGATATTGTTAAGTATATCATACCTATAAAAAATCAAGTTGATCGAATATCAGAAACTACGTGTTCAGAGCGTGCGGAGAGTATGTGCCCAAGTGGGTACAAGGGACAGGCAGCTACCTCCGATTACCTTGACATTCATTAGTAGAGTGAACTTAACAACTAATGGTGCCCATATCATCCAAGGCACTAAGAAGTCAGAGATGTTAGTGAGTTGTGCTCGTAGTTACAGAAGGGTACAATGCAAGTTTCTTTTTGTCATGGTCTAAATATGTCTTCTTATTGAGATTCCCTCGCTCTTTCTGAAACCGATCAAGGTGCAAGTCCCCCCAAGGGAGGATGGGATGAGCACCTTAACAAACACTCGACATTAGTCACCAAACCACATGACCCCAGAGATCCTACACAATGGTCATGAGGTCACTCAAGCAACTCCATGACTGGAGGTAGTTCCTAGAACTCACTTCTAGTCTAGACCAGCATGAGACCATTAAGGTGCTATTGGAGAACCAATTGTAGAGCAATACACTCAAGTGAAGAACATCTTATCATGAAGTAGCAAACCCATTTACCCACATAAATGAAACATTTTCTTCAATTCTTATCATGAAGCAGCAGCTAATTTTAAAGTTTCAAACTACCAAGATGGATTGTCATCTACCAACAGTATGCCAATCTATATATATATATACATATTTATCCCTTTGGGACATGGGTGGAAAAATGAATTCTCTGGAGTTCCAAAAGATTCACACCAATATCTCATATTGGAGCTCCACAACCTTGAGAAAATTACCGAAGATGGGAAGCTTGACAAAGACCCCAAGCAGAACGCATGGCAAGTCGAGATTACATTTTGCCACCTCAAAAAATTCAGCACATCTTTGTTTTGAGAAAACAATAGGCACAACTGTTGTTTTTTTATTCAGTTCGGAACACCTAACAGGCTAGCACCCTTTAGACATATTCCTTCTGCGATACTTGCTGTATATAGAGTATTTGTTCAAATATGGAGGTAACTACGAAACTATAATAATGCTCAGATGTATCCAAAAAATTGTCTTCAAGAGACCTAAGAAAGAAAAAGAATTTACATGTGAAATGCAATTGGATACACTAAAAATACTTATAAATCATTTGAACTAGTCTGCAACATTTAATAATACAAATCATTATGCCATTATTGAATGGTTTTAACCTAATTGGCTTCTCTTTGTATAAGTGAAGGCAGAGGTGGTGTCATAGTTTCATCCATACCTCCTGTATGAGATTCCTCCTCTTCCAAAGGAACATGCCCATCTGGAATTGTAGAGTTAGCTTTTGTAATCTGTGATGGAGCAGAGATGTTGCTGTGTGGAGAACTTGGGCCAGACCTAAACTCTGAATCTCCATCTTCACGAGGCAAAGGTGAAATTTGCAATTGGCCACATCCATCCACTTGCTTTGTGCAAAATTTTTGTTCTACAACATCATATGAATTCGCAGTCCGCACTTCCTGAGCAAGAGAACACCAACAGCAGAAAAGCCAGAGTGTAAAATCAGCAACATCTGCTTTACTGCAACAGAAATTATATGGTGGCAAGTTGAATCTCTTTCTCATCTGAATCCTCCAAAATCCACCATAAAGTAAACCAAACACACAAAGAAAGACCCCCGTAACCCCCAATGCCTCCCTGACGCTCTCGTTATTGATATTAACGGCAGCCAAATTGAAAATCCAGAAAGGGGCCGTGCAAAACAGAAGAAAAGTTGCAATATGAACATACATGTTTCCGAACCCAAGTCTCTCCATATTCCACCCAAAAACACAAAAACTACAAAATAGTGAGAGATATGCTAAAGAAATATCATCCCAAAAATCAAGCACCCCACCACTCCACATGGGTCTTGTGCTCTCGACAATCCTCTCATCTCTTGAAGCAAATGAAAATCTCTTCTCTAATGATTTGGATCTTAACTGGCTTGGCTGGCATACTTCACCAGTGGTAATATGAGCTTGTGATTCCTCATCCATTTCAGAATGGTAATCCTTCCCGAGTGGGCTAACAATGCAGTAAACACCAGCGATTGCAGGTGCAGCAATTGCAACAGAGATACATATCCCAACTCCTATAGCTGGTCGGACTGATCTCTTGTATCCTAAGTTAAGACTACACAAGGCATATTGCGCAAAGCAGTTAATATGTAATAGAGCAACAACAACCATCATGTGTGCCCATTCATGAGGCTTATAAGTCCCATTCTTGCAGTAAATCATTCTAAGTTTGGAAATGTCATCAGGTCTCCATCTAAACAGAAGTATGAGGTGGTAGATACGCTTCGGGTGTTGATAAAGACACATTAGAGTAAATAATGCATTGAGGATTTGATTATTAACTTCGAACCAAGCATCTCTTTCACTCTTTTTCAGCAGGGCACTGTTCAACATTCCGGTCATGACGAGGAACAGAAGTGCACCAGATACACCAACACCAACAATCCAAACAAAAAGGGCCATGTTCATAGGGTCCTTAATCCATTCTTTGCCCATTTTACAAATAGAGCCCCAATCCATTTTCCGGGAAAAGACCCTATTGAGTTGCTCTCGAATAACATGACCACTTGACGAACGCACAGCCCGTGACATCTGATCTCTCCTCGAAGCAATACGCTGGAATTTGAGAAACCGTGTTCTTTTGGGCTGAGCAGCTAAATTAGCATGGAGCCTACGTTGAGGGTTTTCATCAGTTATAAGTCCCTTTTGAGACATAGAAATATGAAGAGGAATCTGAGTATTGACACTAGTAGAACCATTACATTTCTCAATTCCCTCATCATTTCCACCATTATCAATCGAAACCATTCTCGCTGCAAAAAATCCAAATCTTCACCAGGGGACCAAGTGTTGAAGCTGTAAAAAAACACTGGTAGCAGAATCCAACACTTAGAGGCAGTTTTGGGTTCTAGAATCTAACCTATGTTTTCTTTCTTTTTAAAATTAGTTTTTTAATTTCACTCCAGGCCACAATAACAATCACAAAAAACAGGTAATAAGCAAAACAATTTTTTTTTTTTTTTTTTTTGGTGTTCTCTTTCAAAACCTAAATAACACACTATGAATACATCTCAGCCACAACAAATGAAAGTTATTGTAATTGAGAAATAACCACATCAACAGAAAAACAGTACAAAATAATTGAAACCCACAAAAAACTAAAACTCAAAAAAAAATCAGTAATTGGAAGTAATTGCTATACATTCATGAGTTTATACATATATAGATTTATGTATGTATGTAGAAATAAATAAATCAAATATAATTTAAAAAAAAAGAAAAAAAAAGAGAATGTCTAAAATAACTTAGAAACCATACCTATGGATTGAAAAAAGATGAGGAGAGGAGATTAAAATGCAGGAGAACGCGAGCTCCACGTATCCATAAACAACACTCCCCCAGCAGCCGCAGAATGGAAAAAGCGGAAGAACTTCTAAACTACTTTAATAATCTGATGATGTCTTAGGAACGACGTCGTGTCGTGGTTATTAGGCCATGATTTTTATTTTATTTTATTTTATTGACATTGACATTGAGGAGGCTTTCTCTATTATTAGGTACAAAATTGGGGGAGTGCATTGACTTGGTTTTGATGTCAGCTTTATAAAAGCGAGATTTATTTGTAAAAATATGGCCACTTTTGGAATAAAGTAAAAAATTATTTTTTGATTTTTAACTTATTTTAGATTATATTATTTTTTTATATATTTTTTAAAAAAATTAAAAAATTAATTTTTAATCAATTTCTCAAAATAATTCTATGTTTATAAATTACACATAAATAATTAGATAAGTTTAGAAATTTTAGTCGGCTAATTTATTTTTTAAAAGATTAACTAGAAATATGACTTTATAGGTATAATTCCCCCGTCCTGTTTTGTTAATTTTATTTCTATTTTAAAATGCTCCAAAATGTTGGTCATTTTTTTTAAAATCAAACGAGAAAATGTTTAGTCTTTCAAAACTATCCCTAAAAAGGTCTGTTATGTTAAAAACAAAAAGGCATTTTTGAAATAAATCATTTAAAATTGAAATTCAAAAATAATAATTATATGTCCATTAAAAGGTTTAGAAATTTTTAAAAAGACTAACAAAATGGGACCGAGAAATCCAACAACCAATCACCAATAGAAGAAAAATAAACATCATAAATATCAAATTTATTTTCATAGGGGTTGAATCCACGAACTCATATGTTATACAACTACTAGGCCAACAGCCCACTTTTGTTTTGCACAAATAAATTTAGAAGATAAAATGAAATTCATCATCAAAATAAAGGGTTTACTGGTGAAAAGTTTATATCTATGGGGCACATGTCATTAGGTCTTAGGAATATATACACTCCCTTCCTCTTAAAATATTAATCTTTTATTTCATTTTTTATTATCCTGAAATATTAGTTCATTTTCAAAAATCAAGTATTAAAATTATAGGAATTTTCTATTTTGTCATTCCTTTAAGTTCATTAACAACATAAAAATTACAATTATGACAATTGATATTCCAAAAAAAAAAAAAAGTACTAT